ATTTAATCATTGACCTTTGAATGACTTTTGAACAATCAGCGATGGATAAAGTATCATTTCTCTGGGGTACAGTGGAATAAAAAATGTGCCATTTTTTTGGTACTTATATGTTTTTCATTCGACCTTGAGATATTATTCAATAGAAAGATATTCCGTTTTGTCAGCAGATATGTGTAACACATGTTTTATAGATGCGCAGTAGAAAACGTATATCGCGCCTTAAAGGGTTAAATGAAGATTATACCGAATAAACAATATGAATAATTTAAGTGCGAGTGTTCATACCAAAAAAGAATGTGTAGGTCACATTGCGCTCATTTATCTGCAAACATTCTATTGGGACAATCTTTGAGCGTCGTCAGTGTGAGTGACAGCGTTGCGTGCTATCTGTTGCTTAACTCCTTGCCCTATGATTTCTTTCAAAACTACTTTATCCTTAATAATTTACTAGAAAAAGAGCAGCATTTCGTGGACGTTCTATGTCTACGTTTATTTTAAAGTATAACAGTTAATAATCGAAACATGAGATTTAAGTTCGAATTCGACAGAAGTAATACATTTATATCTGTTAAATTCGTATATGTCGCAGAGAAACTTTACAAAGAGAACTCAGATTCTCGAGTTTAGTCATGTTTTCTCCATTTACTCACATGCCAAAAATTCTAAAAAGCATCTGACAAAATGTGACTACTGGGACATATTATGACAGATGTTTTTCTAGAATTTCTGCATACGATTAAAAAAGTAAACCGCAACGAAACTTGATAATCCGATTTTTCCTTTTAGTTAGGTACCTTCGTAGTTACCTCCCTGGTCAAGATAGAAGATCGAAACTTGTCATAAAATGTCTTTCCCCGGCAAGCTATCGCACGCTCGATCCTTCGTTTAATTTGGCTCAAGGGCATTTTCGACCCCCCATAGACGGTTTATACCCTTTCCCAATCACGTGACCTATGTCTTTTTGCCTTACATCCTTACTGCCTTATCGCGCTCGTTTATACGATCGTTTCCCGTTTGCTTTTCCAGTTTCGGCTGGGTTCGGAACGATCAAGTCGGAATCGGGAAGTGTGCGATCTTTATCCTTTTTGGATTATAATATCAAGATAATCTCGTGACGATGATTTTACTCTGAATTCAACAGATCTGAATATTCCATAGTTCGTGTCAGTTGAAAATAATTCTTTCCTGATTAACTCTGTTAACAGTATTAAGCACGTACTCTGCTGACATAGTTCAGAATATGGATACACGCCGCTTGGGGATGCTCTCATGTTAATGTAAATATAAAACTGTGCGTATAATGACACAACTGATACATTTATTTATAACAACACAAATAATACATTTTGGCGTAACCCATGTTATAACATCTGAAAGAAAACATTTTTTATTCATAATAAGTTAATTAATAAGTACTTGCTAAATTCATGATAACTTAATGAATAGATTTTCACTATATTCATGATGCTTGTTGAAATATGGCAGGTACAGACGTGATGAGTCAATCAGGCGGTTAGCTCGATAACGGGGGTGCGCGGATCCTTTTGAACATACGAAACACCGTGACACTTCCCTTCTAGGTGGCGATCGGCTGTCTTCGAAATCGAATTCGTTACGCTTCATTTTCATAAACAACCAAATGTGCTGAGTAACGCGTTATGGTTTCGCGGGCTCTCCGGTGTAACGGATCATTGAGAGATCGGGCCCCGGGGATTGGCGAGGCGTGTTAATGCGGAGCGACGGTTTCGTAAAGCGTTTGACGGGATATAAAGGGGATGCTCTATGATATCGATTTTCGTGGGTACTTGACTCGAGGAACGGAACTAGCTTTCTTGTTAGGCTTTTAATTTGAAAGGATAGGACGATCCTTTTCCTTCGATCGTGAATAAATAAACAATGTTGGGTTCCATGTGATGTGCCGAACATTTATATATTTCTCGTGGAGTTCTATTTGATTGATTTCTTGTTTATCGAGAAATGTCTCTCTTTGTACTTTCGTTTAAAATTGTTGTGTATTTATTGGGGTAATCCAGTCTACATGAATTTCTTAGACGAACTGTGTTTCTGTAACTTTAACATACTATAGTACAATCTTTCTTGAACAATTACTTGAATTACTTACTTTGTTGATACAATTATATCGTATTTTTAAATAAATAAAACTATAGCTTCTTAAATAAAAAGAAATAGCTTAAATGTCAAACTAACTTGCGCAATGAACTACTAAAACCTGCACCGCGAGCACGAAGAAACAATTAAAAAAAAAATCAAATACTCTCTTCCATACGTCCCCAGTAATCACGGAAAACCGTGACACGGTGCATCGGGAACACCGTGGGTCCGCGCGGCTGGTTCGCTTAAACTTTCGACCAGGCAGTGACGTAATCGCGCGCGCGGCCTGTGACGATGAAGTCGGCCGTGCAACACAAAGGTCCCTTCCACGTCCGCGCGTTTCTTGCCAAGTGGCGCCACGTATCCGCATTTCGGCCCTGGCACGTGTTAGATTAGAAAGTGGCGGGGATGCGTGATACCTTAGAAGCGTTAGAGGGGATGCGAGAGCGTGAAAGAAACCGACGATGGGCCGAGAGAGCGGGTAAAGCGGAAAGAACGCGGGATCAAGCAAGAGGGAAAGACAGAGACAGCGAATTAAGTGAAAAATGGAGGGGGGCAGAGATGATAGAGAAAAAGATGAGGAGATAACCTAAGCAAGGTGGACAGAGACCGAGAAGGAATTAGAGTGAAAAGAAAGGAGACAGAGATGATAGAGGAAAAGATGAGACAGCCTAAGTGAGGTAGCTAGACAAAGAGCAAAAAGAGAAGGAGAGAGTGG